AGGAGAGAGAGAGAGAGAGAGAGAGAGAGAGCACTGTGGCAGATCACCTATGCCAGTGCAGGCTGACAGGGTCCTGCCATCTCACAGGCGAGCTTCCAAAAGCGCACTCAGGCTCAGGCTCAGGCTCAGGCTCAGGCTCAGGCTCAGGCTCGGGTTCAGGCTCAGGCTCCGGCTCCGGCTCAGGCTCAATCTCAGTCTCTTCGACCTCAGCTTCTAGTAAAACGATGGCACCCGTGCACCTTCAGTCTCCCAGCGCCGCCTCACGGTTTGCGGTGGATGCTGCGTTCATGGGCCGCCGGTGTCCAGCCGCCGGCGCGACGCACGGTGCGGGGCGGGGCGGCGTCGGGGTGAGACTCGACCGCCGCGGCTGGCGCGGCAGCAGAGGACCGACCGCCGCCGCGCCCGTCTGACCGGGCGTCCTCCACAGGTCGAGATGGACGGCACACACCCGGTGCTGTACGTGGCCCGCGGCTCGCATGGCCTCTGGCCGACGACGGGTGAGTGACACGGTCGGTGTGACACTGTGGAACGTCATCTCAGCTCTCCCCCAGGATAGGACATTACTGTGAAGTCCAGACCAAACCGGGTCCGATCAGCGGACCGTGTGTACCGGTGCTGCTGTACCTGCCACGGCAGCTGCAGGCGCCCTCCAGTGATGTCTCACTTGATCCCAGTCCTCACAGCGCGCCGCCCGCTGGCTCTGACGCGTCTCGGCCGGCAGGTGAGCACGTGTACCGCCGGCTGGCGCCACGTCTGGTGGACGTGACGGACCGCGGCGCCGCCTGGCGCAGCTGGCGCCGCCTGGTGCTGCTGTCGCGCGCCCAGCCGCACTGGCTGCAGTACCGCGGCCGCTGGGGCAACCCGGCCGACTGCTGGAGCCCGGTCAGCGGCTTCTGCGGTCTGAACGCGGGCCCGCGCGGCCTGGCGCGCCGCGACGACGACTTCGGCTGCGGCGGCCGGCCGGCGCCGCGCCGCCACTGGCTCCGGCGGCTGTTCGGCCGGCGGCGGCGGCGGCGCAGCGTCCCCGCGCGGCGTCCTTGATCGAGGACGGTACGCACCCGCGGAGGGGAGGGCGCGGCGCGGGCCCGGTGTCCGCGCTGCGGCCGCCAGAGCGCGCTACGACACGGAGCGCGACCGAAGACAGTCGGGGAGTGGATTGACGGCCTTTAATCGGGGTTCGGCCAGCGTGATGACACAACCGCCGCTTCGCACTGTGCATTCCGGTGGGCACCCAACCGAACATTGCAGCCCGGTATGTCGTGCTTTGATGGAAAACGGCGACAGAAAGACGGCGACGTGGAGTGGGTCGGTTCCGGTTAGGCCGTGCTAATGCGACCCATGGCCATCGTATCGGTCAGCTCCCGCTTTCTGTCACGGAGCGTAAGCTTATTCTCACGCGCTTGCGACGCGCACACGGTTTTGTGGGCCGGGCAGGACGGGAGGGAGCTACGGTCTACGGTTGGCGGCATGGCTGTGGGTAAAAAGGGACAAGGCGTGGAGTGAGCACATCCCTGGTCGTGTGGAGCTCCTCATACAGCGTGGAATGAGAGGAAGCAGGACGGGGGCAGTCTCGCTTCCGCCAACCCCGCGTCTTCACGGCCCCGGCCGCACCAATGGGTAAGAGCGCGCTGCAGCAGTCGCGGCGCCGACCACAGTCAGCGACGAACGGAAAAGACAAGCACGAGAAGCTTGGTGAGCCACAGCACTGCCTCGTTCGTTCAATGCAAGCCAGTAGTTTAAGTGCGGCCAGTGCCGCTCGTGCAGGCCTCCGAGCGACCGTGTGCCCGGGTTAAGAGGCTGGCCGCGGCGCCGGTCCGCCCGCTGGCTGTCGGTCGTCCGTGCAGTCCACCCGGTGGCGGCTGGCGCCCGTGGCACGGCCTGGGCGGGCGGCTCCCCACGCTGGTGCGGCGTTCTGGCTGCGCCAGATCCTGTGTCGTCTTTCAAGCTGAATGGTCTGTGATGAGCATGTGTGACGCGCGACGGCCTGCTGGTGTTTTGCGTTGTTCAGATGCTGTGATGCGTGGATGGCGCCACAGTGTGGTCACTGGGAGTCCAGTTATGACCACTCCTGGACCGATAGTCCGACGCGGTGATTGGCGACAGGACCTGCAAATGTGGCGCGCATGGCGCACACCATTCATTGGTGTAGAAGTGCGCGCAAGTAGCAGCGAACAGCTTCCGCACAGCGCACTAGGCTACTGTGCAGTGAGTGTTCAGCTGGCGGGACAGGCAGCCGTGGATGGGACCCCTGGCGACCGCCGGCGCCCAGTCGAACAGTCGAGACCGAACAGCTTTTTATGTAGAGGGTTAGAAGCAATGCGCTGTCAGTGAGACTGCTATGTTCGCATTTCATCGTTTTCCGTGCAATGTAAGCTTCTATTTCGTTGTAGCGGACAGTGCAGCGTTCGGTGACATCATCGCATCGACGGCGATGTATTGGAGCCGATTTGCAAGATGTGCCCAAATACGACCAATGCAACCGATCGTCCGAATACATGTGTCATCAGAAACGCAGCTTTGCTATCCTGGAATGTGTGCCGTCTGCGAGTTAGCGAACAGCACGCAAACAGGGCAGTCGGTGTTGGGCGGAGGCGGCGGCGCTGGGTAGTACAGTCCGTCGGTATTGGGCTGCGGCGGAGCAGGGCAGTACGGTCCATCGGTATTGGGTGGCGGCGGAGCAGGGCGGTACAGTCCGCCGGTATCGGGCGGCGGCGGAGCAGGACAGTACACTCCGTCGGTATCGGGCAGCGGCGGAGCAGGGCAGTACAGTCCGTCGGTATCGGGCAGCGGCGGAGCGGGACAGTACAGTCCGTCGGTATTGGGCGGCGGCGGAGCAAGGCGGCACGGTCCGTCGGTATTGGGCGGCGGCGGAGCAGGGCAGTACGGTCCGTCGGTGTATAGCGGCGGCGGAGCAGGGCAGTACAGTCCGTCGGTATCGGGCAGCGGCGGAGCAGGGCAGTACAGTCCGTCGGTATTGGGTAGCGGCGGAGCAGGGCGGTACAGTCCGCCGGTATCGGGCAGCAGCGGAGCAGGGCGGCACGGTCCGTCGGTATTGGGAGGCGGCGGAGCAGTGCAGTACAGTCTGTCGGTATTGGGTGGCGGCGGAGCAGGGCGGTACAGTCCGCCGGTATCGGGTAGCGGCGGAGCAGGGCGGCACGGTCCGTCGGTATTGGGCGGCGGCGGAGCAGGGCGGCACGGTCCGTCGGTATTGGGCGGCGGCGGAGCAGGGCAGTACAGTCCGTCGGTATTGGGCAGCGGCGGAGCAGGGCAGTACAGTCCGTCGGTATTGGGCGGCGGCGGAGCAGGGCGGCACGGTCCGTCGGTATTGGGCGGCGGCGGAGCAGGGCAGTACAGTCCGTCGGTATTGGGCAGCGGCGGAGCAGGGCAGTACAGTCCGTCGGTATTGGGTGGCGGTGGAGCAGAGCGGCACGGTCCGCTCCGTCCGTGTAGGCGGCGGCGGAGCGGGGCAGTCCAGTCCGTCGGCGGCGGCACTCACCTGGATCAGAAAGAAGGAGGCGAAGCCCAGTCCGTTGACCAGCAGCTCGGCCAGCGCCTTGACGGTGGCTCGGTCGTAGACACAGGGCAGCACCAGGACGACTCGGCAGTCCTGGTGCGACAGAGAGGCTATCACTGTCGCCCTGGTGCCACCATGTCGCGCCGCTCGCCACGCCCACCAGTCTCACCCGGGGGTCATATTAACGCAGTCGGCCAGAGCATCGGCAGTCACACTCCGACCCCACGCTGCAGATACACAAGGCGCGAACAAGGTCGGCCGGACGACCTACAGCCGAACGCCGCAACAACAAAGAGCAGAAAGTCCAGAGACCCAAACGCTACGTAAGCAAGAGGAGACTGAGATCGATTGCCACACGTCGCACGAGCAAGTTCGTTCAGAAGATTGATGGCCACATGCCGCACAATAAGCATCGATGACGAGCTTGAGACCCACGCGCTACAGGAGCAACATCAGCCAAAAGATACAGAATAGACCCATACGCCGCACAAAGAGCCTTCATCTGGGAATAGCACCACCGCCACATGAACATCGGCTACAAAATATTATTCCAAGGCGAAAGCCCACAAGAACAGAAAGATCAAGTCCAGAGCAACACACCAAGCGCACAATACCCAGCCATGGATCCAGGACCCGCCCCAAGCCCACAGCGCGCCATCCGCTGCTAATAAGCCGCGCACCAGGTGACCGCCGCCCTGGAGCCGGGGTCCGAGCGGCGCCGGCGGTCCGGCCGCCGCTGCCCCCGGCGTCCGCTCACCTCCAGCTCTGCCCTGGTGATGCCCAGCAGCCGCTCGATGCAGTGCAGCCAGATGACCTCCAGGTCGGCCATGACCGAGGAGCGCGAGCCGCCCGGCCCGCTGTGCAGGTTCAGCCGGCCGCGTCGCATCGGGAAGTGGACGTTATACGGGCAGCTGGGGTCCAGCGTGAGTACCTGTCCACACGCAGAGTACAGTCCTGCGTCAGCACCTGTCCACACATAACAATCCGGCGTCAGCACCTGTCCACACACACACAGAACAGTCCAGCGTCAGCACCTGTCCACACACAGAACAGTCCAGCGTCAGCACCTGTCCACACACAGAACAATGCGTGGAGGAAGGGTGGCGCACACAGTCAGCAACAGGAGGGAAGTTGTTGGAACTATCAGCAACTGTCCAATTCTGGCCTGCAGGGCCAGAACTCTGGCTAAACATGCTCAAGTTCTGGACTGCAGGGCCAGAACTCTGGCTATACATGCTCAAGTTCTGAACTGCATGGCCAGAACTCTGGCTATACATGCTCAAGTTCTGGACTGCAGGGCCAGAACTCTGGCTATACATGCTCAAGTTCTGGACTGCAGGGCCAGAACTCTGGCTATACATGCTCAAGTTCTGAACTGCAGGGCCAGAACTCTGGCTATACATGCTCAAGTTCTGGCCTGCAGGGCCAGAACTCTGGCTATACATGCTCAAGTTCTTAACTGCAGGGTCAAACTTGCGCATGTACAGTCAGTGCCCGCCGAAGGCATGCAGAATATCCGCATCCGTGAGGCTCGCAAAGTGTCGCCGTGTTTTGGATGACGATCAGTCTAATATGATCACTGGTGGAATACCAGTGCGACACTGGCAGTCCGCTGAAGACCCACGAGCGCCCGCCGGTGCTGGGGTGTCCTGGCACGCGGCGGCTCTCGAGCCGCAGGTGGGCACGGCTTACCTGGTCCCCCACGATACAGTCGGCGCCACCCGGCGTCCACTCGGGCACGCGGTCCGTGGTCTTCACAGGCTGCGAGTGTTTGTTGAAGCTGGCCACCATCTGCGGCGGCGCGGCGAACCTGGCAGCATACGGCCGGTGCCATTAGGACCTCCACGGATGCCGTACACCCAGCCACTGCCGGCAGTCGCGTGACACAGCAGCTGACCGGGGCCGAAACGCTACGCATAGCCGGGCGTCTCACAGCAGTCCTGTGGGACCGCGACGAAATGGCTGATGAAAGCACCTTCAAACTTGGTCAATCGCGGATCCAGGATTTCGTCAAAGGGGGGGGGGGGGAGCTACGCAACATTGTGGGGCCCCTCTTGAGTTTAGGGCAACTCCAAAAATATTTGCATTACAAGCATTAAATTGCAAGAATTTTGGAATGTTAGTTTTTGTACGGAAACCAATCTTACCGCGCGCAGCCTTAAAAAATTTGGTGTGCTGCGTATACACATACATGGAGCTTATTCACTTACTCCAGATCATGGTAAATCCTGTCAGTTTGAGGCTAAGTTTTTTTCTGAAAACAGCATGGAAAAAGAAGCTAAGGTTGGCTGCTTAATGCCATTAAAGTCAAGTAAGAGCTTTATTCCTAGCCTATTTACAGCTAATTCGCTGGTCGATGTGATCAGCTGGTGGCTGATGATTGAAAAAGAGTTTTGTTTTGTTTACTATGAAGTAGCACAAAATATTCTAGCTTTTAAAATGGATTAAGAACGTGATGTACAAGGATAAAAGGGGTCACAAATTCAACAACCAAAAACGACACACAGCTTTGGCGGCACGCAAAATCCTGTTCAGCAAGGGCGCGTAAAAATTAATTGGCGCACATCTGGCAGCTGCTCTAAGGCTGAGGCACCAAGGCCGATAAAGATAAAACCTGAGCGATCATGGATGCCGCGGCAGAACAACAAAGAGGAATCGTCAACAAACAAAGGATCCTCAGAGCGAGCGAGAAGAGCCTGAGACGAACGTGGTGGGTCCTTGAACGACCAGGAGTGTCCGGCAGGCTGACATATAGGATCCTAGCCAGAGCACAGGGCCCTCTGAGCTAAGGGAGATTACCCTACACCAGTGGGCGTGCATTAATGCTTCTGTGTGATCAAGATTGCCCGCGCAAATTAACAGAAAGGGACCCGATAGGAATGAAGGCTTCTCCGCAAATGAGATCAAGGGGAAAGAGTTCTAGATCAACGCATGGGGCCCTTGAGCATCGAGTGGCTCGCTGCCTTACCTTAAATAGGCCCCTGCAACAGCACAAGACCCTCGGAGCAAGTGAAAAGAACCCGAGACTAATATGAACGACCCATGAGCAACTGGCCGTACTCCGGCATATGGGGCTCCGGCAAAAGCGTATAGAGCTTTTCGGGCCAATGGTAAGGATCGGTGGAGGGCCCCTGATCGACCAAGAGCGCCCAGGTATGTTAGCAGATAGTGCCCCAACAGCAGTGTCGGGCACTACCTGCTACGATAGTGTCGCACGCCTCTCACCTACGAGAAAATGCAAAGAGATCAAGGGCAATGTGGAAGGCTCCTTATGTTCTCAGCGATCGGATCGACCCGGTAAGTGGACATATAGGGCCCCAACAACGAAAAGCCTCTATACAGCGTAATGAGCCTCAAAATGTTCCCCAATCGCCACCCCCTTCATCAGCGAAGAATTAGTTTTGGTTTCCTCACAGGTTCTTCATTTCGCTTGCGACTGTTCTTGATCGTCTGGAGACCCCAAAACGTCCAACTTCGGTGTGTTTTGTGGTAGAAAATTGCGTCCGTTCGGATGGTCATGGGTCCTTTCAGTACTTATGGGTTCCCTCGGAGCACAAGGGGGGTACGGTTCCATGCTTCCCCCCCCCCCCCCTTTGGATTCGCCACTGGCCCGGACAGCTTAATAATGCTCATGTGTTCGTGTGCCGGAGTAAGTTATCAGAAGTGGCCCTGACAAGAGCGTAGGGCCCACCATTCAAATCAGAAGTACCCAAGACCCATTGTGAAGGGCCCCGAAAGATCTAGTGTACCCGGACAGGGTCAGCCAGGATCAGATGGCTCCCGACAGGAGCGAAAGGCCCTACGCTCAAATACCAAGACCCAATGTGCAGCGACCCCGAACAATCCAGTGTGCCCGAGGAGGTAAACAGATAGGGCTCTCAAAAAGTGCTGAGGGTCCTTCATTCAAAAAGGAAGAACTCAATACACAGTGTGGACGGCCCAAGAACGATTGAGTGCGCCCGATCAGGTTAACGGATGGGGCCCTGACAAGAGCGTGGGACCCTAAGCAAGTGGCAAAGAATTGGAAGGCCTTTAGACCAATGTAGAGGGCCCATGAGCATATCGCGAATGTGTCAGTAGGCTAACCCAGACCAACGTGAAGGGCCACTGAGCAACCGAGAATACCCCGGCAGGTTAATATATGGGCTCCCGGCTATATTGTATAAAACCACTGAACCGTAGGGCCTCTGGACAGCGTAATGAGCCTTAAGCCTTCTCAATCAGTGAAGAATAGCATTTGTTTCCTGGTGGGCCCTTCACTTTCGCCTGCAAATGTTCATGGTCACTTGGAGCCCCCAAGATGTTCAATTTTGTTACGTTTTATGTAAAAAATACGTCTGTCGGCCAGCTATGGGCCCCTTTGGAGCCTATCGGCCCAGTCGGGGCCCAAGGGAGACTTGGCCCGTGCGCCCCCTTCCCCCCCCCCACACCCCCTCCTCTTGTTCCGCCCCTGAACTTGGTACACTAATGATACCTTTGTTGTATATCTTTTGACAAAAACTGTTCCCAGGACCTGTCGCTGACAGCACATCGGTCCTCTGGATAGGTAAATTACCATTATTTAAATGTAAAGCATGCTATAGTACAATGCAATATAACGGCAAAACGCAATATAATTAAGTGCAATGAAATGGTAGTGTAGCAGCCTTAGATGGCCACATGCGCACACAAACACACACGTACACACGCATGTACTTACGCACGCACGCACGCATGCACGTAGGCACGCACGCACGCACACACACATAAGTACCAATGCCATAACATCAACAACCACTTCTTGGATCGTTCCAACCGCTCGATCAATTACCATGACGCCTGACGCGGTGGTGTTGACTTTCTCCAAATGGAGACTTCAGCCAGACTTCTCCCGTGCCAAAAATGATGAGAATTATTTTCACAAAGCAAGATTGTGAATAACCTTTTGCTAGCCATGTCCTACACAAGATGTCCAGCGCATTGGTCCGGCAGCGCCGGCTCACCTGGCCGTGCCGTCCGACTTCAGGCAGGACTGCAGCGTGTGCGAGACGGCCAGCCGCGTCTCCTCGATCTCGGTCATCTGCTGACGGGGCTGCGGGCAGGCCGACAATGGGCGGTGACGGACGGGGAACACAGAGCTCCGCTGCGCAGGGCAGGAAGGGGGAGAGCAGAGCACTGCCGCACAGGACAGGGGGGCGGAGAACAGAGCACCGCTGCACAAGGAAGGGGGCAGAGAACAGAGCACCGCTGCACAGGGAAGGGTGCCGAGAACAGGGCACCACCGCACAGAGCAGGTGGGTGGAGAACAGAGTACCACTGCACAGGGCAGGAGGTGGAGAACAGCCACAAGACAGAGAAGTTGACGCCACTCAGTCGAGAAAGACATGTCAAGACAGGCCACAACACCGTGACACAACAGTTATATGACATGGCTGTTGTCCACTGGCCTGCCCACAGTCAGTGCCGTCTCCCCGGTGGCAGCGAGGTCAGACCGCCACCGCTCTGGGCCGCACCAGTTTGACGTCGGGCGGCAGGACGGGGTCCTGGTACTGCTGGCCGCCGTCCCTCCTGCGCCGGGCGATGACGTGCGGCAGCACGGCTGGGTTCACGTCCGTGGCTCGGCCGATCCGCAGGAAGTACGAGCCCGGCTCGATCACCAGGATCCGGTCACTGGCGACCTGGCTCTGTCAAATGCTGGCATTAGCTTATGTGTGCTAATCAACAGCTGGCTGGGCAATACAGTAGAATGACAAAAAATTAGAATGGAGATGCAATTTTCCGGATGTGCCTATGATGGCAATGAATGTGAATGCAATGAAAAGAATATCCTTGTGCAAATTTGGTCATATGTCACTGAACGTGTGCCTCGTGTCTTGTTTCCTCACATGCATCATTTATAAATTGATTTACCTCCATAGGAGATTCCTTCCCACCAGCCATGCTTACAATGGTTCTTCCAATAGCAGTGCTTGGGAAATGTGGTAGGCTCAGAAAATCACTGAAAAAAATCAAGAGAACAATGAATTTCACCACCATAGGTATACAGCAAAAAACTCATGTATTAGGCAATGTTATCAACTAGTTTTTGTTTCAGTTACCACTGAGAAAACATGAGAACAGGACCACTGCATCATTTTATTTCAGAACAGTAGATGCATATGACAAATGAGACTATATACAATGAAACACAAAATATGTCAAATGGTGAACATGTGAGCAGAATTTATCACGCTGGCCTTAAATGAGAAAACAAGCTATATTCATTATTTACACGTAGTCAACTAACACCTAGTCCAGTTGTTACAGGTGCCTAGCCATGTAGCAATGGACATACATTTTTGACAACTGTAAAAAAGTTGTAACATTGAAATCAATGAACCAACTTTCCTTAGCATTTGTTTCACTATTGCAGATAAAAGAAATATCTGTGAGGGTTGTCATTTGTTTTTACCACAAACTTCATTTTAATATCCTGTCCTAAAACCATGCTTTCACTCATTTTTGAGGTGCCAACTGCACTTAACCAACAGGTCTTGAAGACAACATGGCCATATGTACTCTAGGTGTGAGTTGGTTCTGTAGCTGTACCATGGGTGATAACTTAGGGCAGCAATCACCCTCCTTCCATCTGAGGTGATCAGTGATATTTGTCACTGCATTGAGGACCCAAATGAGCTTCTCCAATATCAGGCTTTATTAAATATTGGCTCTTTAATACTGCATGTATAAAATCAGGGTAGGAACTGTGGTAATCCTAACTGGTTTGCCAGCCCAAAAGTATAGTGAGGGTTCAACACCAGTGCTCAGTTCCAGTAACTTATGGCAATATCTTATTTTTTACCCATACTGAGCCATACTGAGACAGATCATAATGTAGCAAAACATGGGCTTAAATCTTGTGAACTTACTGTTTGGCATGCCTCAAACCCTTCATAAGTAAGAGCTATGTGCTAAAAAATATTAGTTAAGACATGATGCATCTAATATATTGTCCTAGAATAGATCAGAATAAGAATGTCACATTGTCACATTGATTTCATCCAGTCATCATTGAATATCACAGAATAGATCCAGACATTATAACAGACTCAATATAGCCATATACCACTATATGCTATTACAGCCATCAGTGTCATGCATATCATACATGCAATTGCTGAAATGTATTTTGAAGTTTGGCTTGGCATACTGGATGATATATGACTATATACACTCACGTTGAACCTAGTAAATGTGCTTAGCCTCTTTTTAACAGCCTTGTACACATTTATCAGGAGGTAAAAGTACCTGTGATAAACAAAGAGACTTAGTTTTATTCATGACCAACTGAAATTAGCCTGTAAGTAGAACACACTAACAGATGCAAATACAGCCATGTATATAAGATGTATATAGCTATCACACACATCAGCAGCATTGGCACACATTCACAATAACGGACCAAGCAGAGGACATCAAATACAGTGTAAGACAGGCCACCATTGCTGGTGGCCCATGGGTATCACTGTCCATGGCAAATTGCTGTCATTATGTACTTATCTGCAATTCAAATTTATAAGATAACATCTTTAAATATCAAAAGATTTAAGATGCACTTAAATATATATTTCAGCTTTTGGAACATTCATGGACTCAGGGGTCAGGAGTAAAGGGGGATTTTTATCCCCGGACTTTGGAATAGGACTTCCAGTTAGCTACAAAAATACACGCAGTCTCAATTTCACAACTGGAGACATATTACAGCTATTTTCGTGAACAGGTCAAGCACGGCTATTACAGGAAAACACAGCTACATTCGAATGAAAAAATACACTATTGAACGTCAACCGAACCCATGCATGTAATGCCTTGTCGTCTCGAATTAGGGCGCACAGCCCATGCATGCAATGCCCAACAATGCTACGGCATCTCCTTTTGAAACAGCTGCGGCTATTAGAGCTGGATATCCAGAACTTTAAATAAAATACATAAGCACTTGAATGCTATTCAATTATTGCGCACTTGCGTGCAGACAGCGTGTGATTTTACTTGTGTTGGTTGTAGTAATACACGTGGGGAGCGTCGTGTGTCTGCGTTGGTGTTGGTTTGGGGACAGTTGGTGACCAGAGCGTGTCTAGCCTATAAGTGCGCTTTTCGAAATCTCATCTTCACGTCGAGTTGGCTGATAGAAGTGCACTAGTCCCAGGAAAAGTCGATCCTGTACTGGGACGAGTGAGAGGCAGGGGTGTACGATTACGCAGTAGGGATCCGTTTGTGCGCCTGTTTCCAAATCCTGACTTCTGATTTTTGGAGATCATGGCTATTCACGAAGAAGCTTTGAACAAAAAGCTGAACAAGAAGAGAAAAAAGAAGCTTGAAAAGCTGCAGAAGCAAAAGGAATCAGGTAAAATCATGTTTGCCGTTGCAGCCATTGATGGAGTGTTAATGGTGGATCATTTGGATGGCTAACTGACATCCGTATAAATGAGGTGGAGCAATGTGTGGTCAAAGCCATTTTATGTTTTTTGCTGGTGTATGCTAGGACTTTAAAGCTCTGTTGTGCTGTTAAGTCATGCTAGGATTTTAAGTTATCACTGCATTAGCCGGGCATTGCATTGGCATATCATTGACTGCGGATGAGACTTAGTTGGAAATTTTATTTGGCAACTCACAGCACTGTGACATGTAATCTCACACCACACAGCAGAGCTCAGCTGTTTCCCTAGCACCATGCCATGTAATCTCACACCACACAGCAGACCTTAGCTGTTTCCATAGCACCATGCCATACAATCTCACACCACTCAGCAGACCTTAGCTGTTTCCATAGCACCATGCGATGCAATCTCAGACCTCAACAAAGCTGTGACTTGGAACCTTCAATGTGACTGGGGTGTTTCTGTTGCCTGGTCACAGATTTGAGGCCTGCTACCTGTTTGTGTAGGTCTGGGCCCCACTTGCAAAAATGCACCCACTAGACTGGACAATTTTACTGAACTTCAGGTATATGTGTGCTGAACCCTGGCCAGGGCCCATTTCACTTTTTTAAATTACTTTAGAGTGAAAAATATGCTTGGTCATTTTGTGCTAATATTTCCTGTTCAGCATCAATGGTTTTTATACAAATTGGCTCTGTGCTGAAATTGGCAGCATCATGTGTTAAACTCTGGGCACTGTGCACTGAACTCTGTGAGCTGGAATAAGTCAAGTAGCAAGCCGATTTACCTGATGAACCTTATTGAATGAGGGAGTGGTTAGCTGAAGTTTCAGATCAAATCTTGGCTGGGATATGAGCAGAAAGTATTTTGTGGGGATATTGCTCTACTTGGTGTTACATTTATTTTTTGCAGTCTTGTCTTGGCCCAACTGGGCATGGGCATTATTTGCTGTGATGCATTTCAAGCCATAACTCAGTCATTAGTACAGATACCTGCTTGAAAATTGGTACTGGCATTCTTCATGATTGTATATAGGGTGTAGATTATCATTTTATAATTCTGAGTTGAGGTTAAAAAAAAATTGGGCAATACCTTTCCAATATTTGTTCACTTAGCGTGCATATGTCATAAGGTATAATATTGAAACAACACAATGGCATCATATGGATGATCAACATATTAACTAATTGTCCCACATTTACTCTTTATAGATATGAATTCTTTTTTGGTTTTGGCTTTTTTGTCTTAATTGGCTTTGGATAAGTTATCCACAATAAGGCCCTTTTGTTAGAACTATTGTCATTTTGGCATAACTCGTGCTTCTCTGTTATGGTCTCATAGCTGCCATTTTGGCATAAGACTTGGAGTTGATAGCTTGTAAGCTTCTTAAAGTTTTACACAGGTATGTCAACATTGCTTTACAAACAATTGTCACTAGGGGCAGGATGTAGATTCACCCCTCCTATCAGTCAATGTCATTTTAAGATAGGGTTCATTGATTATGATCCTTACTTCTGTCATCCTTCTCAAATATGATAGCTCCTGGTGTGTCATTGGTGACCACTGCAAGGATGGTGTAGGTTAGGTTCAATGAATAGGGGGGAGAAGTATGTGCAAGGGTTGGTGCAGGAGTATTTGTTGGAAAAGGTTAAGGTTTCATCACAAGTACAGTGACAGGTTACATTACATTACTTAAGTTACCTGTGTACTGTGTTTCTCTGATTCTTCAGTGAGATCAGATGTGTTTTTAAAGCGATAGCTGTAAAGGCTTGCTCACAATGTCCTCATCCTTGATCCTGAGACATGTGGTGGCTGCTACATGCAGCAGCTGAGCAGCATGAACTGTGCACATTGTTTGCATGCAATTATGACTCAGCACTCTATCGAAACTATATTTCCCAGTTTTGTACCAATATGAATCAGTGTCCCAGATCATATCAGTGTTGAATGATGAAGGGTGGCACCCCACATGGATAGGGCAGCATAATCATGATGTATCCTACACAGGGGTGTGGTCAAGGTGAGTGTGGCAACAAGTGATTTGCATAGCTGTCATTGGGTGTTCCTTATGGTCTTTTGCATAAGGTGGCTGTCATCTGTTTCAGAAGCATCAGCCAAGACTGAAGAGCAGCCTCAAGCTGATGAGCCAGAGGTTCAAGATCAGAAGGAAGATCATGAAGGCTCTAAACAGAAATCAGGAGGTACTCCCTCAGGTATGATGGCAACCAATGTCAGTAACTCCCAACAGTGGTAATTATTGGGATAAAACATTCAATGCAAGGTCTAAGATCACTTGCTCATTTAAGATCAATCAGCATCTTTCACTCCCATTGTCATGCAAAATAACAGGGATCTTGACTGGGAGCCAGGAAAAAACTCAAACTTTGTCTTAAGGACTGTTAACAGCACTAACCGCTATACCGGTGTCTGCTAATTGTTCCCTGAGATTTGAGTATCTATAATCCATCTCAGATTCTGTCTCATGACAATTGGCAGCAGCTGAGGTCTTGTATGCATATGACAGCTCATTGTATTTCCATTTTCAGTGCCAGGTGCCTCTTGGATGGGGGTGAACCCAGTGATCGAGACGTCCTTTGAGAGCCTCAAGGACAGAGTGTGTGAATTCACACTGCGGGCCATCAAAGACATGAGTTTTACCGATATGACGCCAATCCAGGTAAGTGCGGTGGTAGGTGGCTATGGCAAGAATCATCGCAAAACTTACTGAATGATGGCTTGAGGGTAACTCTTGCAAACATCTAGCATATGTTAGAGTCTTATGCTTGAAAGAGGGTTTCATTGCTGGCTTTTACACAACATATTAATGAACATATCCGGGAAATGTGCTTGGCTCGTCCCGTAGCGTGCGTCAGCTGTTCACCATCCCCCATACGTCGTTTAGCGTCAGTCGTCATCACCCGTGGCCTCGCCATCGGCCGGCGCCCGTTGACTCTGCCCGACCTCTGAAGGCGCGCTCCATCCCGGCCCTGCTGGAGGGCAAGGACCTGGTGGGCGCCGCCAAGACCGGCTCCGGCAAGACGCTCGCCTTCCTCGTGCCGGCCGTCGAGCTCATGTTCAAGCTCAAGTTCATGCCTCGCAACGGCACCGGTAGGTGGCGCTGCCGAGCTCGCTCCAGGTGGCGGTCGGGACCGGGTTCGCAGCTTCCGCGAGTACCAGCTGGCGCTTGACTTGTCCGAGGGTTTGTTATGTCACGGATTGGCGCACTTAATCGCACGCCCGGTGATGGAATGTTCGCACCTGCGTCGGTCGTGGTTCTCGGGATCCTGTTCTAAACCGGGATTTAAAGCTACTATAGGAGGTTGGCGTGAGCGGTAGTTAGCGTGGGCCTGCTGAATGTCTCGTGTATACGTGCTGGTGACCGGTATGTATTCGCCCGACGTCTGGCGTGACGGTCCGTCGGTGTGCCGGCGTGCTTCTCGAGCGATGACCCAGCTGGCGTCAGCCGGCCGGCCGTGTGCCGCCGACCGATGATGGCGAGCGTCCGACTTGTCTCGACCGATGACGGCGAGCGCCCGGCTTATCTCGACTGGTGACGGCGAGCGCCTGACGTGTCTCGATCGATGAAGGCGAGCGCTGGACGTGTCTCGACCGGTGACGGCGAGCGCCTGACGTGTCTCGATCGATGAAGGCGAGCGCTGGACGTGTCTCGACCGATGACGGCGAGCGCCTGACGTGTCTCGATCGATTGAAGGCGAGCGCTGGACGTGTCTCGACCGATGAGGCGAGCGTCCGATTGTCTCGCGATGACGGCGAGCGCCGGCTTGTTCGACTGGTGACGGCGAGCGCCTGACGTGTCTCGATCGATGAAGGCGAGCGCTGACGTCGTGTCTCGACCGATGACGGCGAGCGCCTGACGTTGTCTCGATCGATGAAGGCGAGCGCTGGACGTGTCTCGACCGGTGACGGCGAGCGCTGAGTGTCTCGATCGATGATGAAGGTGAGCGCTGGACGTGCTCCGACCGATGACGGCGAGCGCCTGACGTGTCTCGATCGATGAAGGCGAGCGCTGGACGTGTCTCGCCGATGACGGCGAGCGCCTAACGTGTCTCGATCGATGAAGGCGAGCGCTGGACGTGTCTCGACCGATGATGGCGAGCGTCCGACTTGTCTCGACCGATGACGGCGAGCGCCCGGCTTATCTCGACTGGTGACGGCGAGCGCCTGACGTGTCTCGATCGATGAAGGCGAGCGCTGGACGTGTCTCGACCGGTGACGGCGAGCGCCTGACGTGTCTCGATCGATGAAGGCGAGCGCTGGACGTGTCTCGACCGGTGACGGCGAGCGCCTGACGTGTCTCGATCGATGAAGGCGAGCGCTGGACGTGTCTCGACCGATGACGGCGAGCGCCGAGTGTCTCGATCGATGAAGGCGAGCGCTGGACGTGTCTCGACCGATGACGGCGAGCGCCTACGTGTCTCGATCGATGACGGCGAGCCCGGCGTGTCTCGACGATGACGGCGAGCGCCGACGTGTCTCGACGATGAGGCGAGCGCGGCTTGTCTCGACCGGTGACGGCGAGCGCCTGACGTGTCTCGATCGATGAAGGCGAGCGCTGGACGTGTCTCGACCGGTGACGGCGAGCGCCTGACGTGTCTCGATCGATGAAGGCGAGTGCTGGACGTGTCTCGACCGGTGACGGCGAGCGCCTGACGTGTCTCGCGGCCGGTGACGGCGAGCGCCCGACGTGTCTCGATCGGCGACGGCGAGCGCCTAGCGTGTCTTGACCGATGACGGCGAGCGCCTGACATGTCTCGACCGATGACGGCGAGCGCTGGACGTGTCTCGACCGATGACGGCGAGCGCTGGACGTGTCTCGACCGGTGACGGCGAGCGCCTGACGTGTTTTGCGGCCGGTGACGGCGAGCGCCTGACATGTCTCGCGGCCAGTGACTGTGAGCGCCACGTGTCTGGGCGGCAGGCGTGATCATCATCTCTCCGACGCGCGAGCTCAGCATGCAGACGTTCGGCGTGCTGAAGGAGCTGATGGCGCACCACTTCCACACGTACGGCCTCATCATCGGCGGCACCAACCGGCAGTCGGAGGCGCAGAAGCTGGCCAACGGTGAGCGTGGCGGCGGCGGCGGCGGCCGGCGAAGCTGCCGCTGTCGGGCACGCCTCGCCGCTCGGGCGGCGGCCAGGTGCCGGTGTCTAGTGTCAGGGATCGGCACCGGACATTATCATGTACCGGTGGAAGCTACGTCCTGTCGGCTTTGTAAACCGTTTACGGGCCGCACTCGTGAGAAGATGAGAAGCCACTCACGGGATTGGGGTCCGTGGCTGTTTTGTTGTTTATCGTTGCCGGGGTGTGGAGCGATTTACACCAGCGCTGCCGTTCGGAAAATGGACGGGAAACTCAGCCAAGCGTTATGGGGACCATACGGGCGTAGTAGGCACCGTGTTTTTGGTTTGTATCCGACCAAGCGCAAAACTCATGCACTTGCTGTCAGCTAGACACCGGGCATTGATTGGGCCCATAGCAAAGTCCCGCGCCCTCGGAGCTGAATCTAGAGACCATATCACGTTTAATGCATTTTCATGTTTAAATATTGTATGGCTTTATCGCGTATGATGTGCAACGACCCATACATGTAACAGCTATCAAGTCAAAATCAGACTGCACCGAATTAGCACCGGGGCCGCGGCGGGACGTTTTTACGTGCATGCTACCAGTTATCATTCATATATGCCCATGAGACGTGTAATTATATGAGCACTTCCTCATCCATATTCAAGAGCTGACGTTGCTGAGACGAATACGGGCGCCTCATTGGCATGCGGGGCACGGCCGTGTGGTGGTCCTGGTGCGCATCTGACGTCTGGGCGGCGGACGCTGACGCAGCCACACCCCTCCGACGTCATCAGTGACCCCGGCAGCGCGCTGACCCGTGCCGCGCCGGCAGGGGTCAATATAATTGTGGCCACACCGGGCCGCCTGCTGGACCACCTGCAGAACACGGCCAACTTCCTCTTCAAGAACCTGCAGTGTTTGGTCATCGACGAGGCCGACCGCATCCTCGACATCGGCTTCGAGGACGAGATGAAGCAGATCATCAAGCTGCTGCCCAGTAAGCGGGCGGCGACGGGCGGCGGGACTGGCAGGGGCAAAGCGGGAATGGCGGAAAGTGGAAATGTGGTGGGCGGGACACCTTGAAGTGGTGGCCAGAGTAGTCTGCAGCTCGCAGTGCTGTACTGAGGTGCGCAATATCTGGGCAGGTGGTGTTGGCGGATGTGCCGTGGATGTTCCGGGATGATGCACCAAAAGAGGACAGCTTTGTTATCTGATCGGGCCCTGGCTTGTTGCATGTTTGTGCTGTAAGGCGTAACGATTCCGCATTTGCCCCGTGTTTTCTTTTGTGTGTTATCTAATCGTTTATGGCCTGGGCGGAGGAGTGTCAGGAGTGTCAGCACGGGTTGCTAGGCACGCCACTTCGTAGAAAATGTGAGGCAAATGGCGTCCCAGGAATATATCCAGCTTCCATCTCTTTGTCGACTGGCTTCGCGTTCTTTGTTGATTGGTTCGCTAAGGGTTGACTCAAAGTCTGTTTACCGCTGAGTCGATGACGCGCCCAGCACCAGCCGGCCGGTTGGCCGAGGGGATGTCATCCCCTTCCGCTACTCCGTCCGCACGTCCGCTCAGCATGCGGGCGGTTTCAGAGCGGCGACAGACGATGCTGTTCAGCGCCACCACCACCAAGAAGGTGAAGGACCTGGAGACGCTGGCGCTCAAGACGGACCCCGTCTACGTGGGCGTGGATGACCTGGAGGAGAAGGCCACCGTGTCGGGCCTCGAGCAGGGGTAGGTCGGCTGCCGTCCGTGCGCGGGGGAGGCAGGTGCCGACAGGCTGTTGATGTGGTCGGGTTTGGTGGTGGGGCGAGGACCCCAGGTGTGTTGCCGACCCAGGGTGTTCGTGTTTCGGGACGCGTGGAAGCCACTCGCAGGTGCCGCTTTAAGTATGTTGAAAACGCCAGCTGGCACTTACGCCTTGGCGGCGTGTCGTCTCGGCTGTATGTAATGCAGGAGCACCAGGGCGGATCCTCTTGGGAGCTGACCTCACCTTGTCCGGGCTTCAGGTATGTGGTCTGCCCTTCGGAGAAGCGGTTTATGCTGTTGTTCACCTTCCTGAAGAAGAACAGGAAAAAGAAGGTGATGGTGTTCTTCAGCAGCTGCATGTCTGTCAAGTTCCACAATGAGCTGCTCAACTACATTGACCTGCCAGTCATGTGCATACACGTGAGTCGGACGCAATGGCCGTTTCAGGGGAGGGGCGCTGCACATCTTCCTCTGTGATGGATGTCTGATTGGAGCATATAGTGGTATTCGTCCTAGCGTTACTTAGCTCCCCGGGTCTGCGATATTGTTTTTGCTATCGAACTAGGATGACGATGTTGTTGCTGAAATGGAGACTGTGAAGACTGTGAATGCATTTGGCGATTCCACTGCGTTCCTCAGATAGATTGCTCGCAGTTTTTGATTTGACTCGGTCAGTCGTCATATGTGTGTGAGCACCGTATGCGCATGGGGGCCGGAGGCGGCTCCATTTGCTGGTTGGGTGCATGCGTGTGGCTTTGGGCGTTCCTATCAGGATGTTTTTGCAATTTTGGCGATTTCGCAGTGCTCGTTAAACCGCCTCGAAGTCCTCTTGAAGCACAGCGGAAACCATAATTGCGTCAGTCCACCGCCACGCCTGTCGGGCGCGCGTCGTGTCACCCATCCCCTTGCGCCTGTTGGACGCGCCGCTCATCCCCACGCCGCCGGCCTCACGTACCGCCGGCCTCCGCAGGGTAAGCAGAAACAATCGAAGCGGACGACCACCTTCTTCCAGTTCTGCAACGCCGACTCGGGCATCTTGCTGTGCACGGACGTGGCGGCGCGCGGCCTGGACATCCCGGCCGTGGACTGGATTGTCCAGTTCGACCCGCCCGACGACCCCAAGGTGAGGCCCACGCGCCGGCGGTGGGCTCGCCACCGACCGACTGCCGCCGGCCCTGCTAGGTGCAGCGTTTGGTGCGAGGCTCATTACCGACGAGCTGGCCATGATGCATAAAACATTGTGTCGTGACGTACGATGTGCTCTTATAAGGCGTCCGTCAGCTGGTAACGTTGTGATGCATGAAAGCGAAATCACTGGGAGCATTGTTTTGAAATTGCATCGATGACGCTTGCAATGAGCCAAACGTAGCAAAATTAAAGTGCTGTCATTGTTGGTGATATGAGGGGCGCCTATTTGGTTTGGCCTTCGAATGTGTGCATTCGCATTTAGTTCGCAACTCAGAGTTCAGAGTTCTAATGCCGGCACTTATCGGCCTTCCGCTATTACTCCAGGAGGCATTGGTTAAACGGCGTTATGATGGTTCGTCACGCTTCAGACGAGGCGGCAGGTCCTGTGGCATGTTGGGCTGAGACACCTATGCTAGCGCTGCGGGTGGGCCGCGGGGGGGGGGGACGGGGCAGGGTGCCGCTCCGGGGGGCATCGGGTCCGACGCCTCCGCAGGTCGGCCCTCTCAGGGCCGCGGCTTGGCACGGCATTGGTCCGATATGGCGCGGTGGCCCCCGATCGGCGGCGATAGGCGCGGGTCGGCGCGGCCCGCCGGCGCCGAGGCTGACAGGGGGCCCTCCGGTGCCGCGGGTGCGGCGCGCCGGCGCTTCACGCTGCCGAGGCTGGCAGGAGGCTCTCCGGTGCCGCGGGTGCGGCGCGCCGGCGCTTCACGCTGCCGGGGCTGGCTGGAGGTCTTCGGTGGTGCCGTGGGTGCCGCCCGCCGGTGCCCCACGCCGCCGCCGAGGCTGGCAGGGGGCCCTCTGGTGCCGCGGGTGCGGCGCGCCGGCGCTTTACGCTGCCGAGGCTGGCAGGAGGCCCTCCGGTGCCGCGGGTGCGGCGCGCCTGCGCTTCACGCTGCCGAGGCTGGCAGGAGGTCTTCGGTGGTGCCGCGGGTGCCGCCCGCCGGTGCCCCACGCCGCCGCCGAGGCCGGCAGGGGGCCCTCTGGTGCCGCGGGTGCGGCGCGCCGGCGCTTCACGCTGCCGAGGCTGGCAGTGGGCCCTTTGGTGCCGCGGGTGCGGCGCTCGGGCGCCCCGCGCCGCCGAGGCTGTCGAGAGGCCTTCGACGCGCCGGCGCCCGAAGGCCGCCGAGGCTAGCAGAAGACCTTCGGTGGTGCCGCGGGTGCGACGCGTCGGCGCCCCTCTCCACCGAGGCTGGCGGGAGGCCCTCGGTGGTGCCGCGGGTGCAGCCCACCGGCTCCGGCGCACCGCCCCCGGCTGGGACTCGGTGTTGGTTGTCGGGAGGCCCTCGGTGGTGCCGCGGGTGCAGCCCACCGGCTCCGGCGCACCGCCCCCGGCTGGGACTCGGTGTTGGCTGGCGGCAGACACCCACGGATGGACGCGGGCCGTTATTACTGGGGGCCGTTGGCGGCGTTCGCGAGCAACGGTCTGCTGGTCAGCCATGGACGGTCGCCGAATATGGATGGGCAAGGATTAGGCAGGATGTAAAACATGGGGACGATGTCGTTGTTGTGGAAAACTTCGTCGTTTTACTGTCTACTCATTAAAATGTGTTACTTCCTCCCATGTCACGCGACACTTTTGTTACCTGAACAGTTTTCTCGGTTTTACACGCCAAAAAAACTGGTTTCCCTAACACGAACACTGGTTTGAAACGTCATATAGCCAGTGTACAGATGAGAGGGACGCGTGGGCTTATCGTCACTCCTGGCGCACTGAACGAGCCGTTCAAAACAGAATGGTCTTCGGGAACGGTCGCCGTATCGGACCGACCTTTGGACAACTGAGGGGAAAGGCTTGGGCACTGATGTCCCCACAGCAGGGGGCGGACACTGGTGACGCGTCGATCGGTGACTCGTCGCCAGGCCAGCCAGCAGTAAGGCAGCAGTGCGGACGTTCCCTGTCGTCAGGCGGCTGCGCCCAAGGCTTGGGCTACGCGTTCCGTCCTGCACGCCGCGATAAGTTGGGGGATGTGAGGGGCCGGTCCCGAGAGGGCCTCCTCGATCGTTCGGGAGGAGCCTCAGAACTGGTCCGTCGCTGAGATGCATGCGGGCCGCTCGTGATGGGGTGATTCACGTGGACGCTGCCAGCCGCGCTTCCTGCAGAGTGGGACTGGCTTCCAGCCCGATGCTGCTGCAAGGTGCCGTGCACCAACACCGAGCAGCCGGGCGCTATTTGGAACAAGGCTGTCTTCTGTTCCCATCTTGTCAGGCCTTCACGGCCTGGAGAAGGCGGCAGACTCGGGTGGCAGGCTGCGTAGGGTTCTGCCACCCGTCTGGTCTCGTGTCAAATAGCGGTCCTGGCGCTTGTGGGGGTGGTGGAAGCTCGCTCCCGGTCGCAGGTCTCCTCAGCTCCGCGGGCTGTGAGGTTAGCCGCCTCGTTCGTCCGGGCTTGCGTGACCACGAGGGTGGCCTGGTGGTACTGACCCGCTCGGTCTGCGTCTTGTGCAGAAGAGACCGTCCCCTCCGAGCGAAAACCAAGCGCTGTGAGTCGAGACAGTGCGTTTGTTTGCAGCAGTGCTAGCTGGAGGAGAGATTGAGAAGCTATGAGGAGTCTCGGTGACAGTGTCACGGCTTCTCGCACGGCTGTCATTGCGACCCGCACACTGCCGCGTGCAGCTCCGGCAGGGGGCACGCGCTCTGAGCAGTGTGCCTCCTAGTGCTGCTCGTGCAGGACTCCTCTTGTTATACTGGTGTGAGCCGACCCGCCAGGCCGTACGGCGCGGTACCGGTGTGGGTCGGGAGCCAGCCAGCCGGTGTTCTGGCCTCCCCGCCACCCCTCGCCGGCCCGCTCGGCGCAGGATGCAGGCACGGTCAGTGGCAGCGGGAGCCGAGCTCCTTCCTGGAGCAGTTATCAGCGGCGGCGGACGGCGCCGGCGCCCGGCGCACCAGCACCTGGACCGATCGGACCACCATTCCCGGACCACATCCCGCCCTCGCCGCACGCTCGGCGCCTGCGCCGTCGCCGGTGCTCGCGCTTGCCCGGCTGGCCTGAGGCGCGGTGAGTGACCTGGCTCCCCCTCCCCCTCCTCAGGAGTACATCCACCGCGTGGGCCGGACGGCGCGCGGCATGGAGGGGCGCGGCCACGCGCTGCTGATCCTGCGGCCCGAGGAGCTCGGCTTCCTGCGCTTCCTCAAGCACGCCAAGGTGCCGCTGAACGAGTTCGAGTTCTCCTGGGCCAAGATCGCCGACATCCAGAGCCAGGTGGGTGACGCTGCGCCGGCCGGTGTCGACGCGGGTGGCGGTCGGACGCGCCAGAGGCTGGGAGGGGGGGGGGGGGCTGTCAGCTGGCCGGCTGTGCCACCGGGCTCTGTGGCTTGTTCAGCCTTCTGCCGCATGGAACCGCATGTTGTGTAACCGCGCGTTGTGTGTGCGCACGGTGATATGGAAGCCGTTTGTGGAAATCCCGGCTTCTATGTGTGACTGTTGAGACGATATGTTTGTAACCCAACCCACATTTGGACAGTGTGCTGCTAATGCCGTCCGGAACCACTGCCCAACAGTCTCGATGATGCTAGTTAAACTAATATATATTAAATATATCAGATTAATTATATCAGATAGTTCTTCAGATTGATTACACAGTTCCTCAGGTAAGTCGTAAACAAACACTGTAACGTGATCGGTATGAACTTCGTTTGTTTATGTTGGAAGGGTCAAGGGTGTGTTCGTATCCGTATTTGGATATTCATTTAACATTTGAATTCGAGTTCCTTCAGTCCGACTGTTTGAAGCATGTGGGCGTAATCTCTGCCTTATAATTGCCATTGTTACTTGTTGACGCATCGCCGCAAGTAGTTGTAGACTCCAGCTTAAAACTAGTGTCGGCCTCAGTGCCGGACAGCACGGAACTCGGTCACGAGTCGCTTGACGTCGGCTGGTCGTGTCGGAGGACTGCAGTGTACTTCAAAATCCTCATAGCCTGTCACTGGGCTGCCAGACCGAGGCGCAGTCATCTCACTGTTCAGATTACTGGGAGATGGCGGGACCATTGTTCACGCGACAAGCTGTGTTAGTTGTCTTAACCGTCTTAACGAGGGCTCTCGCTCCAGCGTTTTTCGAGCAAACAGCTCAGGCGGAAAACTGGTTTATGTTTAGAAAGGTACGGTTTGCTAGTCTTTTCTTGTGGGGTGTGTGAAAAGCCACCTCATGTCTTTTGGCCTTTTCCCTAAACCAAAGAAAATTAGGAGAATTTCCGCAGTGTATTATTAGATTTCTCAGTGAATGTCTTTTTTTTAATTCACAAAATGCTCGAGATTCCAGAGTGTAAATTTTCACACTTCTCGAATGTTGAATGAAACTTTCTTACCTTTGAATATTGAAATGGAGACATTTGTGTTAAACGATGTCAGATAACGCGTGCGATTCTCCATGTCTTTTGCTAAAATCAGAAGATTTGTTTGAAATTAAAATCTTCAGATTTCTCATCGATAATTTTGTACCAAAACCTTTAACACCGTCACCAATCGTACCATGTTCACCCAACTCTCCGCAGCATTCCATTTGTGATTGTACATTCATGTCGGTAGGTGTTGATTTTGGTAGTTGTTCATCATAACAGTCGACTGTAAATCGAAGGAAAGAATACGGTCGGTGACGGCAGTCTGATTCAGGAATGTCCCCTTCGTAGTAGTTTTGACCGAGTCATTGTGAAAATATTTGTCTTGTGAGGGAGGTTGCACTACAATAATGCATTGGAGGCACTAACTAATCGATCCGCCCAATAGGTTCTGAGGTCTCAATGTGGCAGAAGAAGCTCCCGCATATATCCAGGCCCCCAGTAAACGCTCAGGAATAGGGTCAAATGGACTGCATTTAGTCCAAGCATGAATTTAAACTCTTGGTGGGAGGAGCCTGCAGGCGAACAACGCCTGTTACACCGGGTGTGGATTTGTTTCAATCTTTCATCCTAACGAATTATGGCTCGTAAAAATGATGTATTCATAGAAGGCCGCGTACTGTACAAACTAATGGGGTTGATCTTTCGTGATCAATCGCACATTTCTGGTAGTTGACAGCCCAGCTTTGGCGTGAATAAGCATGGCTTAATGCACAGCAATTTGACTATGACGCACAGCTTGGGCTGGCTTGGGCGTGAATAAGCAAGACTTAATGTACAGCAATACGGCGACGAGACCGGGCTCGACTAACGTCGTAAATCCCGAGCCACATAAACACGCAGGTATTAATGGGCTCATGAGATACGTGTGGCACGGAGAGGTCTTTTGGACCGGTTTCAAGTCGTTATCAAATCGTAGAATGTCGGAGGCACGCACCAAATGGCGGAGGTCCGTCGGCTTCCGACCGGTCGGGAGCGACCTCCTGTCTCGTGTTACGGTGCACCCGTGAGCAGTGGCGGAGGAGGTCTGGAGGTCAGCTGTGTCGATTTGAGCGGTGAAACTGATGAAACATGTGATGAATCTACGAGTGCCCCCATCTTCTCCCATCGTTGCAACCAATTTGGAGAAGGTGTCCGTAGGTGGTTGGGGCTCACGAACGCCGCCCGCTCTTGTCACGTGGCGGGATAGAAAATGTCACGGTATGACATGCGATTAGCGACTGGCTGTTGAGCACGTGGCCAGTCTCATCCGGTCCCGCCACTATGGCGAACGTCTGGTTCACGTCAGCTCCTTCTTCTCGGCCAGTCTCATCTGGTTTTGACGCTGGACTCGGACGTTTATTTCACCTCAGCTCCTTCCTCTCGGCTAGTCTCATCTGGTTCTGACGCTGTAACACAAACGTCCGTTTCACACTAGCTCCTTCCTCTCGGCTAGTCTCATCTGGCTCTGCCGCTATAACACAAACGTCTGTTTCACATTAGCTCCTTCCTCTCAGCTAGTGTCATCTGGCTCTGACTCTGCAACGCGGACGTTTGCTTCACATCAGCTCATCTGACTCTGCCGCTGTAATACGGATGTCTGTTTCACAGCAGCACCGCGCCGTGCCGGAACGTGCAGCCCATCAGCGGCGCCGGGCTGGGCACGCTGTTTTGATATGGCGCCGGCATGCACGTCCGTAGTCGATGCGATTTGCATTGTGGGCCTATTATTCAGATTTAGCGGCCGATCCGCGGTTCGGCGGCGCCCGGCCGCCGGGCTCCGCGTGCAGGCGGGCTGCGGCCGGTCGCTGGCACAGCGGCGAGGTGTGTGGCGGCCCGTGGCGGCAGGCGGCCGCGCTGCTGTCCAACTATTGGCGCGTGCTGCGCTGTGATGACGATGTTGCGGGGAGCCGTGTTTTCCCGGTGCTCGCTGGAGCGCGGCTCTTGTTGGCTTCGCTCATCGGTGCTAGTTTGTGGCGTTTGGGAAGAGAGCGGTTGGATGTTTTTAGGATGCGTGGTCATAGGTCAGGTTGTTGGGGGCGAGTGACTGTCTGCGCGTGGTTTTGAGCGAGCATGGGAACCAGCTGATTTGCAAGGTGCTAGCTGAAAACGGTCAGCCGCACCACCAGATCGCCGGAAAGGGTTCCAAGCTCCGCAGAGGAATGTTTTGTAACATGGACTGCAGTGATAGTTTGCTTTGACTGGTACAGTTCGGTGTTAGTGTCAGTCCACGACTTGTCCTGCCTTGAGCCGCTTCAGAAAGGTTATGTCTCAGTTGTGATGTCACATCCCCATGACATGATCGTCAGGCGCCAGGCCCTCGGGCGGTCGGGCGCGTCGCTGCGGTCTCAGTGGTGACGTCACATCGTCATGACGTGATCCTCAGGCGGCAGGCCCTCGGGCGGTCGGGCGCGTCGCTGCGGTCTCAGTGGTGACGTCGCATCGTCATGACGCGATCCTCAGGCACCAGCCCCTCGGGCGGTCGGGCGTGTCGCTGCGGTCTCAGTTGTGACGTCACATCGCCATGACGCCGCTCTCGGCGAGCCATGATGACCAATCACGGCCGCGGGCCCAAACAGCCGTCATCAGTCGACGTCCAGGCGGCCGCCCTTTGTTGTCGGCGGCGCGCGCGAGGTGGTGGGGGCGGCGGATCCACGGCGGACTGGAGGCGGAGGGCCGGGCTCGCCGCCGCACGGCCGCGGTCAGCGACGCGCCGTTCGAGCCCCGCACCGCGCCCGACGACCGGCGCTGGCCGCACTGGCACCCGACCGCGCGGCGCGATACCCAAAATAAATGGATGAGCGAGTCTGGTCATTCGCTGCTGTCCGGGTAAATATACGAAAGGCGGCCGGGGCGCAGCAAATAGCCGGGTGTTGGCGTTGGCCGGGCGCGCCGGCGGCTGCGGTAGTCGAACCATAACTCGCGCGGCAGGTTCTGAATCACGGCTCGCCTCGATACGCCAGCTGGGGAGGGCCGGACCGCCGACCGCCGGTCGGCCGCTGGCCGCCGCCCACTCAGCGGCGCGTGCCGGAGCGGTGCCCTGTCGCCGGTCCGGGCGAGCGCTGCTCACGGGCCAGCGGCCGGGCTCCTAGACCGGAGCGCGACCATCTGCATTTATTTCGTTCCACTATCTTGGGCGGGTTGTCGCCACTTTGCGATTCATTCATACGGACTTGCAGGCGCTCACTCGCACAGTCAGTATTATCAGCAAGGTGGTCGCTTGTCGCAGCTCGTTTGTGGAGCGGGCGTCAGTCGCGGGGGGGGGGGCCGACCAGTGCCCCGCCTTGAACCGGAGGTCATCAGTCGCCAAGCGGGGCCGCCGGGCAGCTGCAAATAAACACCGCGCATTATCCCACGGTCAAGTCCGTAGTTAGTCGTCGGTCACGTCTGGGGACTCTCAGCCCGTCATCATGTGGCTTCTTAATGACCGCGATCTGCCCTGATGACCGACTCACGCTTAACATGTGTGGTCTTGTATTTTGATTCCACACGCCCACTGGGGTTTTGAAACTGGATGTAACGGCCGCCGGCAGCAAATTCATTCATGCACCTGTGTGGCAATCGCGTCTCAAAAACCTGCAGAGCGGTTAGCTGTGGTCAAATTTTACGGCGCTTGCGTTGGAACAGGGTAAAATCTGCTCTGCCATGGAAAGCTGAATTGTGTGTCACGCTCTGTGCAGGCGCTTAAACAAAACTGGCGATAAAACAAAACTGCGTTGTGGGATGTGCGGCAGATGGTTATTGGCGGGTGGGCCGCGCGCCAGGCAGGACATCCCTGGCCGCGCGGGCCGGAGGCGGACGGCGCACACGCTCGCCGCATCCCGCGCTGCTCCCCCTCAACTTGAACGTAGTTCCCCGCGTTGTGTGGTCGGACGCCATCGGCGCATGGGCGTAGGAACGGTGACGAAGTCAACTTCGAAGTCCGCTAGCCCCACCAGTCCGCCGTAAGGTGCACTGGTCATTAGTGAGCTGATCAGTGATTTGCAACGATTCAGGAATGGTTCATTACCCGAGCGTTACGGCATACCTTTCGTCGGAATGTTTGCCGCCGCCAGTATCAGGTCCGCTCCGGTGGCGCCGCTGGTCGGAGCATTTGGCGCCAGGCGCGGTCCTCTGGACAAATTGTGGGCGCTCCCTGACCTTGAAGTCGTTCGATGTGCCTACCACCTGTGAAAGTGATAGCATTTCAGCGTGTTTGCAAAAGAGCAGTAGATCAGCGAACGTCATTTGACCTCACTTGAAAGGCTTTGCGATCAGGGACGCTGGTCGTAAATCGCAATCGTGGACTGGAAAACCGTTGACGGTCTCGACCGATCGGTATGACCCCCCGTCGCCATCTTTTTCTCGTGGACAAAGAGCCGGAACATGCCACGAGCATCCAGCCCGCACACAATCACGTGACGCCCAGACTTCGGGTGGTGGGGCGGATTTTTCAGGCTCGACCGGGGAGCGACGCCAGAAATTGGGTGGATCCAGAACAATTTCCTCCAGCTCCGGCAAATGCCGTGCCGACTGCAGCAGACGGTCACGTGGCTCGTGCAGCCCCATTCAAGCCAATTTTTCGGCGCGGAGAATAAAACCGCTCTTTTCCGGTCCGCGCATACGTCGAAAACCCGTTTCGCTGCGCACGCCACCACGCCGCTGCTGTTAATTATGGAACTGTGGCTCACAGCGACGCGGCGGCGACGGGCGATTGCACACGGAAGCTGCTCCTAAATTTGATAGCGCCGCGTCGGCATTACTTCAAGTGACAGCTGAGCAACGGCGCTCATTTTTCCGTCCACCGGTGTACGTGTCAGCGGGCTTGCACGTGCAAAACGTCGAGACGTCAAAACACGGCTGATCCTATATCACATTGGTTTGCAAGGTTATGGCGTGCATTCTGTTGCGCCGATCCGCTGGGGCAGGTCCAGCCAGTGGGGCAGGGACGTCGAGAAGCAGGATACGGTGGCTGCAGCCCCGCGAAGCGCCGGCCCGACGAGACGCGCTCCTTATACGGGCCGCTGACGTATTCCTCGACGCCTCCTGTAAACATGCTCCGGCTTATCTGCATATTCTTCGAACGGGTGTTAAAGTGGAGGCCTCACCACTATTCGCGGAAAGATTAAAGGATGACCTCACTGGAGAAGTGCGTATGCATGTCCGGATGGTGAGCAAGGGATGGACTGGATAGTGGCCGGCGGGCGCTGGAGCGGCGTCTGCGCGAGAGCCGCCGGGCGTCAGAGGCGAGCAGGCCACCAGCGGGGTGCCGGGGCCGCCCCGCCCCGCCCTTGAAGCGCGCTCGTCGTGTGGCGGGCGCGTTGCCCCCATACTGTCAGAGATGGCGCGTTGGCCGCACACTGTCAGAGATGGCGCGACGGCATTAGTCTCTGAGCGTCACTGAGTGAGTCTTCCTGAGCCGCCAGCCATTGGCTGGCAGCTCAGGGAGACTCAGTGACACCTGACTGATGTGGGGGGCACGTGGCCTGGGTCTGGTCACGCTCGTGGAGTGCATGCGTGTGTTTTCCGGCCGTTGCGCTCAATATATACCGCGGGGAGCGTGTTTCGTGCCAATCGTGGCGATCGAGTTTCCTGGTGTGGACGGTGGTAAAGTTGCAGCGGTGGGCACTGGAAGATCGCGAACAGATCGCCACTGAACGAGGGATTGTAGTTAAACGCAAAGAGCTGACTGATAAATTGGTCAGATCACGATAAAGTGGGGAAAACTTGTTTCCAAAAAACTTTGGGCGAGAGCGTTTGGAACGTCTTGTGTTCTTGTGTCACTCAGATATCAGAATAACAACGATTATTTTGCCACCAATGGGGCGAACGGTCGCTCGTGAGCTTATCACTAATATCGACAGCCCATAACTAAAATTTACTTTAGAAAGGCGTTCGTCATGAGAGGTCGGTCAATTATAAGTCGGAATTCCCCCTTGCTGGCTACGCTCCCATGTGTAGCCTCGACGGCTTGTCCTCCGCCTAAACGGTGCGGTCGTTTCCCTCGACTAACCCCCCCCCCCCCCCCCCTCCTCCCCCGTTTCAGCTGGAGCGGCTCATCACCAAGAACTACTTTCTGAACCAGTCGGCAAAGGAGGCATTCCGCGCCTACGTGCACGCGTACAACTCGCACAGCCTCAAGACCATCTTCGACATCGAGCAGCTGGACCTGAAGGGCGTGGGTCGCTCGTTCGGCTTCACCGTGCCGCCGGCCGTCGAGCTGAAGGCGCACGCCTCCAAGGAGGGCCGCGCGCGCAAGCGCGGCGGCGGCGGCGGCGCCGCCTTCATGCACGACGAGCAGCAGCGCGCCAAGAAGGCCAAGATGTACTCGCGGCCGAAGCCGGGCAAGGGGTTCGTCAGATGAGGCGGTGGCGGCGTTGACGGCGGGAGGTGGAGGCCGAGGCGCGACATGGCCGGGCCGGCCTGGGCTGCCTCGGCTGGCTGGGGGACCAGCGGCGGCCGCCGGAGCTGGGCGGAGGGAGGGCGTGGGGCGCCGACCGGCGGCCGGCCCGCCCGCCGTATATGGGGTCCGGGGGCGAGCCGGCCCCATAACCAGCGGACCGACCGGGCGGCACCGGTCGGCCGGCCCACGCGCCGCTGGCTGCGACGCCCGGCGCGGCACGGCGTCGGCGGAGCTGGCCCCACCAGGCCCCGCCCTCCCTTGCTCCGGTCCCATGTTGGCGGCGGCCGGCGCCTGCTGCGCTTTTGATTGTTGTTGTGGAATACGCATCTCGGATTGAGCGGTGGCCGGGCGTTCTGAGATGCGAGCAGGTGCTGCTGGGCAGCAACCAACCTCTCAGCGCGCGACAGGTTGGGTCGTGCGGTTCACCGGTCCGTGGCAGAATACACGAGAAAACGTGTCGAGTTTGACCTTGGTTTCCAACGACTGGTGCGCCTTGGATGATGAGAACAGGCATGTGGTTCAACAATGAATGCTGGCGAAATGCTTATGAGTGAGCAACTTGATGTCATCAGCGTTCTCCGCGCCGACCGCGGGCAGCGCCCGCACCGTACCCTGGTTTGACAAGCGGCATGCCAAGCCCAGTTTGCATTGAGCGTGACTAGCATGCTTGCTCGGCCGCTTACTTCTTTTCGATGGAATGATACAATAGATTGCTTTAAATCGCGATTACCTGACGAAAAAACGGAAAGGTCACAGAGTAGAGGCGGCTGGAATAAACAAATACAGCCTTGAAGACTACTGTAGAGGTCCCCGCGTCGGGCCGCGCTGCCAGGGAAGGCGGCTGCATCGCAGCAATATGACCCAATCCTGACGAATGATTCCACCTGTTAACTCCCACTGGCTTCGGCAGGCATCCGCAGTCGGCTGTTTCTAACGCGTGACTGTCACTAGAGCTGTCACGGAGGCCCGCCGTAGGGGTATCTGTAGCGTCTCCGTTAACCACTGCGCGTCTGGGAAACCAGAGGTATGGGGTTCGATTCCCCGTGGTGCCCGCCCTTCCTACCAGGGTGAGAGGTAGGCGACGCCATATAGCCTCAGCAGCTGAGTGCGTCGTAAAGCCCCAATGACACACACGCGCGCACACACACACACACACACACACACACACACACACACACACACACACACACACGCACGCACGCACGCACGCACGCACGCACGCACACACACACACACACACACACACACACACACACACACACACACACACACACACACACACACACACACACATACACACACACGGCCCGTTGTAGCGAATGTCTTGCCTTCGATGGGCTTTGGAATGAGACGGTCAGACCGCACCAGTCTCTCATGAGGGATCTTTCTTCGCTGTCGGCCCGGTGTTCGCCTCCCTGGCAGCGGGTTTTGGCGCGCCCGCTCAGGCAGTTGAGGGCATTAGCCCAGCTGTAACTTTCTGCAGGCCTAACCGGTGGCTGGGGTGGACCCGGTGCCGTCGTTATCCCGTCATGCCCGGCTGGCCGGCTGGCCGGGCTCCCTGGTGCGGCCGGTGACATCAGGCAGAGTCGCTGCCGCCGCCGGCCGCCCACGTCTGGCCGGCGCCGAGTGTGTTCCTCCCAGGCGCCGCCCGCACGGCGCTGCCGAGGGTTCACACGGCCAACAGGGTGGCAGCCGGGGTGTGAGGCTCCCTCTCCTTACCCCAGCTCAACCGCCACAGGCAGGAACGGGTGGGCCACCACAATAGCCTCCCGCACGTTCGGGATGGGGCTCATGATAAGCCATGTGGGGAAACATGTGAACTGAGTCGGTTGTGCTCGGTTGACTGCGCTCGACAGCGTCGACCTATGTATTTTTGGCCTACTCGGAAATTTGACGTCACCTCCGAAAGCTATAGCAGGTGTAGTGGGCATGGGCAGAAGCATAAATGCTGCCAGAATGCCAGGCATGGCCAGCAACGTAATGTAATGATCAAGAGGCCACGCTTATGAAAGGATCGGGTACGGTC